ACATGGTGGGACCCATGTTTGTTGCAGTCTTTTAAATGTCCTCTTTCCTTCTACACCCGCCCTCTTTGTCTAGTGTTTTGATTTTCTCTCTCTTCCCAGTAAAACTTCTTCCACCCACTTTAAATTTTGTCTCTTTATTTTATTTTCGTATGCCCTCACACACTCTTCCCCCGTCCCTCTCTCTATCTCTTCTTTTTTAAATTTTATTTAATCTCTCATGTAAATAATAGTGTTGCTTTCCCAAATCAAAAATTCTAAGATAATTATATAAAAATTTAAATTTTAAAATATTTTGGTTACATAATTCATACTACTTCTGGTGTTTAATATAAAAATTCGTTTAACTTTTATTACAAATAGTTCACTTAACTAGTTTTTTTAGTCTATTTAAATTAGTTCACTAGCTCTTATATTAAGGATTGGAGTAGTATTTTACAACTCAACCTTTAACTTCTTTCTCAACTTTTTAAATTCCCTTCTTTTTTATGGTTTATTTTATGTTGACATGTGAAAACTATTTGACTAAAAAAGGACATGTGAAAATTAGAAGCAGACTTTGATAAAAGGAATCAAACTAAATAAAATATCCAGTTAGGCCTTTTTTAACTTCAATGACAAACATTTGCTTATAATAACTTGTGTTTATAAAAGTATTTTTGTTTTTCTTCATTTTTTCGTGAGATTGTTGGTGCATTAATGTTTTAATCAAACAAAGTAATCCTTCTTATACCAAAAAAGTGAATTGTCAAACCTGTTTTGCTGCTTTACTGATATTTACGGATGATAGCTTATGTTTATATAAGTATTTTTTTTCTTTTTTTTCTTAAATTGCTGAAACAATTATATTTTGATAAAAGGTAAACGAACCATTTCAATGTTTTTAGTAATACTACTTTATAACTCCATTCAAAGCTTCAAACGACGTGCTATTACTTAAATTATAGAGTAAATAAAATTAAAAATAAAGAAAGAAGGTGAGTGTATGCAAAAATAAGATATAGAGATAAAACTTAAAGCGGGAAGAAAAAGTTTTACCAGGAAGAGAGAGAAAATTAAATTAAAAAAGAAAGAGGGAAAGTTGAGAGACAAAGGGGAAAGCGCGCGCGTGCAGAAGGAAAAAAGATCCATAAAAGACTGCAACAAGCATGGGTCCCACTATGTGATTTGGAGGATTTCTATTAGTCAGAGCACAAGTTATGTGGCACTCCCGGTGCATATAAGCATTCCTCGTTATGTAAATTCATCAGTTGTGTTATTTTTGTTCTAATTTTGTAAGTTTATAGATATTTACCTTTAAAAAGTATTCAATGCTTGGTGTATTTTGAGTAAAAGTTTAATGGGTATTTTTTCACATAGCTATGCCCAAATAAATTCCACCAATCATTCTTTGCCAAAATAGGATGTGACGATCATCATTAGGTCTGGCTTTCAATGGACAATGGTAAATCTTGGCCATTCGTGGTGCCTTCTAACCGCCCTTGAGCTTAATTTTTGAATCCCATTTTGCCCTTGAATATAGCGAAAATTAGATAGATTGCCATTGGACTTTAATTTAATTTAATTTCCTCTATACCCAAAGCATTTTTCTAATAGTCATTTTGTAATTCTTTTTGCGAAATTTCTTGTCAAGAAAATTAATATAATTCTTCCAAGAATTCACGCCAATTTTCAAATAATTATCCTCCACATCTTTCAAATTATTTGTGGAGAGAATTATAATCAAGTCCACAAAAGAGAAATAATTACTAAAAGGTCCCAATAACAACCTGAGCAGCCTGTAATGACAAGTCCTACGGTGGAGAATAACAACCTCTGGGACTTGTTTTGTTATTTTTTTATGGGACTTGATTGTAATTCTCCCTTATTTGTGACCTTTGCATAATTTTTATTTTACTCAATTTTGACTAAATATAACTTAATTAGCCAAAAATAGACTCTTATTCCAATCAATTCTTTTTAGGGTGTTTTTACGCCTAATACCTCATTGTAGCCTTAAAAGTACCTTAAAAACTTTTCCCATATTTTTTTTAAGTTATGAAATTTTTCTGATTTTTCATTCAAATATTTCATAATACTTTTCAAAATTGCGCTTTTATCCCAACTTGACTTTTCTCTCATACTTTCACTTACTCTGAACTCTAGCATCTCATTTAGCTCATATATATGTGCCTCAACTTTTCATGTTTAATCTGTATTTTAATTAGATGCCGGACATGACAGAAGCTAAGTTTAGGACATTCACCAGAATCTAAACAATTAGGAAACCCCAAAAAAAAAAAAAAAACCCTCGAACGCCGAAAAGAACATGGGGGAAAGGTTAAAACTCACTGCCTTCACAAGCTCAAGAAGATGGCCAAAGAAAAAGAGAAACCATTGGAAGATACTGAATGGAAGGAGGAGGAGGCAATCACAGAGCTCTGGAAATGTTTGGAGGCAAATGAACATTCGAGATCTGATCTTAAATTAAGCATAAATTTTGATGGTTCAAGCAGAATCGCTTTTAGCTTGACGGTTTTCAAACAAAAGCGTCAATAACGGTTGAAAGAGACAACCATCAAATACATACAGATTTATTTTAAAATAAGAAAAAGTTAATAAAATTCGACGATTTTATGATTATATCTCAACCTTATTAACAAAATTATTTAACGGGTAGCATAAAAACCGTCAAATGATTGCTTTCGTATCCCCTGCCTCACCTTATTCCAAGGTATATACCTGCGGATTGTTAGTTAAATATACTGCCACTGGTCTTAAATATAAAAGTTAATTAAAAATTTAATTTGATTTTAAATATAAGACGTCAATCTTTTTTATTTTCTATATTTATTCATTCTCCCCAAATACTCTTTATGATAATTGCACATCTTAAATGGTTTTTATTATAATGCACATGATTAATAAAAGTATTTTAGAAAAGATAATACTTATTTATTACAAATAACTAAACTTAGTTTCTTTGATATTGGAAAAATAGATGTAGTATTATCTTTTATTTCTGTATCCATCCCCTTGTATTTAGCCATTCTTTGTCTAGGTTTTCTAGCTAGTATCGGTTTCTGAGTGTTGCGTTTCGTTTTTCCCAATAGGAAGGTTTCATAAATTTTTATTTAAATCCAATTGGGGGTTAAATCATTTAGAAATTTTAGAATATTAGGAGATTCTGTTTGGTAGAAGATAGGCAATAGGATAACTCTAGTGCGTCAGCATACACACGCAGGCACGCATTTTGCCTATTACGCTGCAATTTTTTTTTTTTTACTACTAAATTGTGTGATAATATTTTATTCAATTGATATTAAGTTTTCTGAGAGACTTACTTTCCAGGCGGTCCAGTTTTGTCTGTTATCAACACTCAGGAAATAAAACAGTAATTAGCTGAAAAGAAATCGCTTAATTATTTCATATAGCACAAAATCACTTACAATAATATAATCTGTCAAGATATAACAGAGCAAACGACATCATCATTTATTCAGAGCACATGATCATAGATAACATTACAAAAGCTGATTTATTTAGAGAGCAATATTAGGGAGAGCTCATTAACCAGTATTAGCTGCATTAACATATTAAAATCTGCATCATTAATCACTCAACGGACTACCTTCCGGATATAAGGCACAAAGGTGAATGGCGGAGGAAGGGATGGCGGTGGTGATGATGGTGTTGGTGGCGGCAGCGGCGGCGTTACTGGTTCCACCTAGTCTACGGCCAAGTTTGTCTTTGTTTGAGTTAGGCCACAGCCTGAGTGCACTACAGCTCAATTTGCCTCTAAAAAATTTTGTTCTACTAACTCAAATGAGGAGTTCCACCTAGTCTATTTGTTCTTCTTTGATCACCATAATGTGATTATAAAGCAACCTTGATCCTCAAATGCTTCCAAAAGCTTTCCAAGTGGTTTGACATAATTATTCTTAATGCTAAAATATACCTTGCAAAAGTCAAAAACTTTATAAACTCAAAAATAACAAGAATAAAAGTCAAAATATGAACAAATACGTATAAGAGTGCGTAAAATCATAGGAAAAAGTGTTGAAATAACACGAAGAGTTTTAGTAATTAACACATGTATAACCTTCTCAAGTGCATGCAAATAAAGTTTGTTATGACTTTGTGTGTGTGTGTGCACATGCATGTGGGCAAAATGAAAATTTAAGACATGAAAATTTGACGTAAAATTACGGTCAGTTGTGATTTAAAATTAACACTGGTGTCATTACGATTGTAAATTTAAATTTTAAAAGAAGGAATAGACGTCTTCTTGTAGACTTTCCTAAAACAAGAAATGACAGAAAGAATAAAAAAACTGCGTAATATAAGTAGGAAAAACTTAGCAATATTATTAATAGTATTATTATTTTGTAAAATAAAGAAAGTCAACCAAAGATTAAAAGTTAAAATAATCTGATATTTAAAACTATGTACAGGATAGCAGAACGAAAGGGTCATGGGAACAAATTAAACGATCTGAAGACTTTACCAACTCTTAATTAACTTGCTTCCTCCAAGGAATCAGTCAATTATATATTATACTACAAACCTCACAATCCTTTTTTCCCCCTTTTCCCCCCCCTCAACTATCCTATTCATACTCTTCCTCATAGGGAAGTGAAGGGTGACGCACACAATATTTTGATGCATAAAATTATCTGTTTTTAATAAAGTTATATTACTGCTGAGAAACGGTATTCATAACGAAGAATTCAAATATGGATATATAATTTTAAAATATAGCAATTATGATATGTTAGGTAAGTGGAGGATACTTTAAATTTGTTAATCGTTGAACGGCTCCAGCCATGGACTAAAGATAATATTAATAATTGATACCTTATAATGTGGATACATTTGTTTTGATTAAGTCGAAACCAAAAATAAATAAATAATACTAATTCAACAATGGCGGCTCCTCTCTTGAGCCATAAATAGATTACAACAACAAAGCATTTGGCCACAAGAAACACACAGTTTGAAGTTAAAGGAAGGATTTGGCAAAGATGAAAGGTTCGTTATTGATCTCGTTGATTGCCCTCTTGGCTTTGGCTTCCTCTGTTGCTTCTGCCGATCAACCCAGCCCTAGCCCTCTCCAAGATTTCTGTGTGGGTGCCAATGATACCAAACCTGGAGGTAAGCACACACACAATACCATATATATTGTACCCCCCCCCCCCCCGGGGGGTTTTCTTGTCATTGATTAGTCATATTGAATTGGTTTTATGCGGTATTTGTGAGTGGCAGATTCTGCAAAGATCCCAAGCTTGGGAAAGCGGATGACTTCTTCCACATAATGGAAGGCAACACATTAAACCCATTGGCCTCCCAAGTGACTCAAGTTTCTGTAAATGAATTCCCAGGACTCAACACTCTTGGTATTTCCCTTGCTCGAATCGATTATGGTCCCTACGGTCTGAATCCTCCCCACATTCATCTTCGTGCCACTGAAGTGCTGACTGTCCTCGAAGGAACTCTCCTGGTTGGATTTGTGGCTTCCAATCAAAATGACGATCATTTATTTACCAAAGCACTCAACATAGAAGATGTGTTTATGTTTCCCTTCGGCATGATTCGCTTTCAGCTCAACGTCAGCCATGACAATGCTGTCGCACTTTCTAGTCTCAGTAGCCAAAATCCAGGAGTCATTACTGTTGCTAAGGCTGTGTTTGGATCTGCTCCTCCCATCTCACGTGACGTTCTCACTAAAGCCTTCCAAGTTGACAAAAACATAATTGCCTATCTTCAAAAGCAGCAATGGTACGATAATAACTGAACACGCTATCCACTGCCAATCCATTATTATCCTGTAATAAATAAATAAATAAATCAGACGCATGCAACGATCTTGTGTTGTGAGATACGCATGCAAAATCAATATTCTTTTTTCGTTTTGATAAGAATGAAAGCAAGAAACTAACTACACTCCATCAGCGTCGTTTAGAAGCACGCAATGAAGTCCTGGAGGCATCAGTAGCCCTCTCTTAGCCAAAGCATCAACTTTTGAAATTTCTTCCCTATTGCAGTAAAATAGATCAACTTGCCAATCTCGATCTAGCATCCCTCTGCATTACTGAATTAGGGTGGTGTATTCATGCAGATCATTGCATCGATTCCTCACCAACGTGATTGCCTCAGCACAATCACTATACAAGTTAACAATCTTCACACCTCCATCCCGGGCTCGTCTGAGTCCCATTAGACAGCCCCATAGTTCTGCTAACAGGGCATCACCTTCTCCAATATGGAAGGTCCAAGCATCTACATACCGTCCTTGGATTTAAAACGTAACCCCCACAACTCGCCATACCCCTGGTAAGCGACGCCGCACCATCCACAACCACCTTCGAGCGTCCTTGCCCTTCCAACCTGGTAAGGGTTACTTCTCGTCCTCCACCTCCTCGTAAGTTGACGTTGTGTAGTTTAGCTTTAGCCGATTGGAAGCTCTGGAGGATGACATGTGCTCGCTGAACCATACTTCTAGGGTCACTGGTTTTCTGTTCGAAAATCTCTTTATTCCTCCCCTACCAAAATAGCCAGCACAAGATCACAAAGAATGCTTGTCAGTGTTCGTCGGCTTGACCAATTTTATGATTCAGACTGAGACTGCACCAGTCCCAGACAGACCCACCATTGAAAAACGCTGCATACACTGGGGCTTTATTAGTTCCTCCTAGATTTCTTTAATTCGTGGGCAGTCGCGCAGTGCATCTAGCACATCTTCCTGTCTATGATTACACCAAACACAATAAGTGGAGGCAACCAACCCCCTTTTTTCTCTTTCCACATTAGTCAACAGTTTCCCATGCAAGGTTAGCCAAAGAAACATACGGCACCTCTGGGGAACCTCGGCTTTCCAAATCTTTATCCAAAGAGGATGAGCCTGAGAGTTGTTCACCGTCAAGAGGTTATAAGCGGACTTCAAGGAAAATTCTCCGTGTTTTTGAGGAGCCCAACGCACCGTTTCCTCGCTGTCACGGATTCACACTCTTGTAGACGCTTGCTCCACTTTGCTCCAATTTTTACGGATACCATTCCAGGGACGTGGGTTTTGGAACCTCTCCTCTTCTCTTCCTTCCTCTTCTTTTTTTGAACTGTTAGATTAACATATTTCAACAGTTTAGATTTTAACTTTTTATAAACTACTTATAAAAAAATTTTAAAAGCATTTAGTGTATTTGTAAACCATTAGAATTAAATTTTAATATAGTTTGTAATTTTTTTTTTGTAATTTAATATTTTAATAATAATTTTAAAAAGATTTAAATCTGGGCTGTTAAAATATTAATCGAATGATTGAAAAAGGACGAAGAATGAAGGAAAAAGGAGAGGTTCCGAACCCACGTACGTGACCCTGCTTTCTTTTGGTCAATAGTTGGTAGTAAATCGTTACCGCAGCAATATTTATTTCTCAGGACACGGACCCATAAAGCATCCGGGTTCTCAATGAGGCCCCATCCAGCTTTCATCATGAGAGCCCTATTCTGCAGCGCCGTGTGTTTCACTCCTAAACACCTCGTTGTTTGTCCAAGCAAGCAGCTTCCCAGTTAACCAGATGGACCCTCCGCTGCTCACCTGAGGAACCCCATAAAAAGCCACGAGCACATTTTTCTACCTCTTCGCAGGTTTCCGCAGGCAAAGGGCAAGTTTGCGTTGAGTAAAGAGGCAAAGCTTTGATAACCGATGTTACTAGTGTCTGTCGGCCTTGACCTCAATTTTTTAATCCCATTTTTGCCCTTGAATATAGCCAAAATTTGCTAGATTGCCATTGGACTTTCATTTAATTTAATTTACTTTATACCCAAAGCATTTTTCTAATAGTCGCTTTTAATTCTTTTTGTGAATTTTCTTGCCAAGAAAATTAATATAATTCTTCCAAAAATTCGGGCCAATTTTCAAATAATTATCCTCCGCATCTTTCGAATTATTTGCGACCTTTGCATAATTTTTATTTTATTCAATTTTGGCTAAATATAACTTAATTAGCCAAAAATAGGCTCTTATTCCAATCAATTCTGTTTGGGGTGTTTTTACCTCTAATACCTCTTTTTAGCCTTAAAAGTACCTTAAAAACTTTTTCCGTTATTTTTCTTGAATTTATGAAATTTTTCTGATTTTTCATTCATATATTTTTTAATTATAAGTCTGAAACTTTTCAAAATTATTCTTTCATCCCAACTTGACTTTTCGCTCATACTTTCACTCACTCTGAACTCTGGCATCTCATTTAGCCCATATATATGTGCCCTAACTTTTCATGTTTAATCCGTATTTTAATTAGATACCGGATAAGACAGAAGCTTAGAACATTCACCAGAATCTAAACAATTAGGAAAGCAAAAAATTTGCAACAACCTCCCAAAAGCTAGAGGACAAAGAAAAAAAACCCACGAACGCTGAAAAGAACATGGGGGAAAGGTTAAAACTCACTACCTTCACAAACTCAAGAAGATGGCGAAACAAAAAGAGAAACCATTGGAAGATAGTGAATAGAAGGAGAGGAGGCAATCCCAGAGCTCTTGGAAACGTTTGGAGGCAAATGAACATTCGGAATCTGATCTTAAATTAAGCATAAATTTTGGTGGTTCAAGCAAAATTGCTTTTAACTAACGGTTTTCAAACGAAAGCGTCAGTAACGGTTAAAAGAGACAACCATCAAATGCACATAGATTTATTTTAAAATAAGAAAAATTTAATACAATTTGACAGTTTTATGATTAAATCTCAAGCTTATTAACAAAATTATTTAATGGGTAGAATAAAAACCGTCAAATGATTGCTTTCCTATCCCCTGCCTCACCTTATTGCGAGGTATATACCTGCGGATTGATAGTAGCTAGTGATGAGGACTATTGTGATTAATTATACTGCCACTTGTCCTAAATATAAAAGTTAATTAGAAATTCAATTTGGTTTTAAATGTAAGACATCAATCCCTTTTATTTTCTGTAAAAGTTAGTTAGAAATTCAATTTAGTTTTAAATATAAGACATCAATCCCTTTTATTTTCTATATTTATTCATTCTCTCCAAATACTCCTTACGATAATTGCACATATTAAATGGTTTTTATTATGATACACATGATTAATAAAAGTATTCTGAAAAAAATAACACTTATTTATTACAAATAACTAACTTAACTTTTTTTCTTTGATATTTGCAAATTAGCTATTTAGCTCTTCTATTGAGGAACAGAGATAGTATTATCTCTTATTTCTATATCCATCCCCTTGTATTTAGCCATTCTTTGCCTAGGGTTTTCTAGCTAATATCGGTTTCTGAGTGTTGCGTTTCGTTTTTCCCAATAGGAAGGTTTCATAAATTTTTATTTATATCCAACTGGGGGTTAAATCATCTAGAAATTAGAATATTAGGAGATTCTGTTTGGTAGAAGATAGGCAATAGGATAACTCTGGTGTGTCAGCATACACGCGAGCGCGCATTTGGCCTATTACGCTGCAATTTTTTTTTTACTACTACTAAATTGTGTGATGATATTTTATTTAATCGATGTTAAGTTTTCTCAGAGACTTACTCTCCGGGCAGTCCAGTTTGGTCTGTTGGCAATACTCAAGAAATAAAACAGTAATTAGTTTAAAAAGATATCGCTTAATTTTTTCATATAGCACAAAATCACTTAAAATAAGATAATCTGCCAAGATGTAACAGAGCAAACGACATCATCATTTATTCAGAACCCATAATCACAGATAACATTACAAAAGCTGATTTATTTAGAGAGCAATATTAGGGAGAGCTCATTAACCAGTATCAGCTACATTAACATATTAAACACCAACATCTGCATCATTAATCACTCAACGGACTACCTTCCGGATATGAGGCACAAAGGCGGGTGGCGGAGGAGGGGATGGGGTGGGGGATGACGTTGGTGGCGGCGTTTCTGGTACGAACACAACGTTGAACTTTTCATAGACCCCATCAGGACAAAACACCATACGGTAGAAGGCTTTATTATGTTCGTAATGTGTGATCATCAGAGGATAATCATCTTTTCCTCCCAATTTGAAGTTAATATAATACTCATCGTCCGAATCACCAGATTTGGCAATGTCGAACCAACCTGGCATGGTTACAATATTATCGGTTGGACCAATCACCACCGGGTACTGTTCGAGGCCACGGATCCAAACATTCCACTCGCCTGGTTTAGCGGAGGGAGGAGCAAATTTGAAAACTGTTTTTTCTGCCACATTGATAGTGTCATCATCGCCATATAAAATAAAAATATTAGGAGCAGAGCCAATTATGACGGTGGGGGGGCGGGGATCATAACTCTGGTGAAAGATTTCAATTCCACGGGATATGTTTTTGGCATCGAGAATGCGGTATTCCTGCCCAGACATCACAGGGTTGCCGTAGATGTCAACCACAGCTTCTGCAGCTACGGTTAGGTGTTGAGTGGAGAAGGCAAAGAGAAGAAGAAGAAATAGAGCAGAGAATGCAATCTTCATTGTTGCAATAAAGAATGCAATATGATAAAAAGTGATGAGAGGGTGTGTTGAGGAAATGTAAGCTTGCATGGCTTCTATTTATAAAGTTACAAAAGGTGAGAGGGCAATAAGCATGCAGTTTAATTAGCAGGTTTACAAAAATGAAAGTCTTTTAATTTCACGCAAGCGATCAATATTGATAAGGTGAGGGACCACTGCTTGTGGTTTCCATTGAATTGGGCCACTGCTATTTGCTAAATTACAAGGGATATTAATCAACCTAAAAGGGGCATTAATAAATAATTCTTTTTTGGAAGAAT